AAATTCACAGCAACATACTTCTTCAACCCTTCTCTTAATTCTGCTTTTTCAGACAGTTTATATGCATGCCTTCTGGTCCATCTGGACAATTTTGTGGTTCACAGCTCTGTCAGCTGCTGTGCTCTTCCCAAGGGACTCTTGAACTTGGCTGGTTATGCTGGTGACAGCAGACCATTCCTCACGCAGAGCACAACACCCAGGCACACACAGGCAGAGGTGAAAAAGTAACTGGGAGAATTTGGGAGGGAGTGTGTGAGCTTCCCTCACCATAAAGAACAGGGAGGGACTGAACTCCTTTCAGCTGGGATCGGTATTGCATTGAGAACGGATGTTTCTCAGTTCCAGTGGCCTCCATAATCCCTTCCATGCTTGCTTGATTCCTTTCGAGACTAAAGCTATCAGACACTTAACCAAGCAGACACTATTTTCCTCTGGTGTTTGAGTGGATTTTCATTTTTCAAAATCTGTGTTTTAATCCCATAAACTGCTTTGGGGAAAGGAGAAAACAGGTAACAAACAAAACTTAAGTTCAGTCTTTTTTTTTTTTTTTTCTTTCCTGATGCCTGCTTTTCTTTTGCTGACAATACCATTGTGTTGAGATAAAAACAGCACCATTATCCAACTAAAAAATCAGCAGACACCCTTGTTCCTTCTAGGGTGCTACACTGCAAGCATCTTTGTATTGTCAGCCTGCTGCTCCTACAAGTTGTTCATCTGAACTAATACGTGCAAGGAGGGAGATGCTAATGCCACCGTGCACACTGGTGGTGCTTGTCTGACTAACAAGTGATGTAATTCACTGCATTTCTTGTATTTCTTCTCTTCCCATACACCAGCACCAGCCTGCCTCATTCTAGTTTTGACAATATATGCAGCTACATGTGCTTATCTTCCTTATTTTAGACTTTGAGCTTTGCATGCCCTTCTGCCCAAAATTTCCCCTCTCTTGGCATTTATTTGCAATTATATCCACATGTTGGATGTTGCTAGCATGAATAAAAACTGTAGCAACTATAAGGTTAACCAAAATAAAAAATACTAGAATTTGCCAAGAAATGGCATTTCCCTGGCTTATGGTCCTTTCCAAAATTTCAAGACAACTCTCTAGCCCTGTGTGACTGACAGATCAGATTCCCTTTACAGCCTCTCTTGTGCACTCTATTAAATAAAACTTACCCGTTTATTATCACCATACTACACTGAAACCATTTGCAATAAGATTTCAAAGTTACTTTTTAATTCCACTTCGATGAAGGAAACTTTCAGAAACTTTTAATGTATCAGAATCTGGTTTTAGACACAAAGCCCCTTTTTGTCTAGCCTAGTTTTGAGTAATATACCTTAACTGTAGGTGCCACTAACATCTCTCCCACAACATTTCATTTATTTGGTGGTGTCTTTCTATTTTGTTAATCCATTTCAGGATTGCTTTTATTAACTTTTAGTAAACAGCTGATAATCACCACATATTTCAAAATACCAGAACCACAGCAATATTCAATTCAGTGATCTGTCCTCACTTCTTCCACACCTATCAGCCTAAATCTTAGCCTTGTATATATATTACACCACTAACTCAGTTTTCAAGGCCAGCCTTTAAAATATGAACATTCAACACAACAACACATTCTTTTTGATAGGGGTGTGATTTCAGTGTGCTGAGACCACCAACTCCCAGAGTAAACTTTACTGTTATTTTATTCCCCAGAACCCCTGGATAGTTATACAGATATTTGCTGATTGCCTTTTCTGAGACTGTAAGATTTTGGAACATAAACTGCACCACTTAAGTCTGTCTCAGGAAAAGCAGGATTGAATGCTATAATAACATTAATATTTCCTAGTAATTGCTGTCATGCCATTTTCATATGTATACATGTTTCTCAGATTTTTGGTATGCACTTCTCTTATAAATGAAACAAACAAAAAAAAAGGCAAAATCAAGGCTGAGGAAAACAAATAACAGACTAAACACTGAGGAGTTTCACCATCCTGAGGTAGGACTTAAAGATCAACCTGAGTTGAAACTATTCAAAACAGTCATAGCAGTGTACTCAAAACCAGGAACACGGTTTCCATGTTGAAACTTTGAATTATTTTTCCAGTATTACTTTAAAAAATGTAATTCAGTTTTAATTTAAAAAGCTGTCTAAAATTCTTTTGAAGCATAATATGTATTTTTCTAGAATCTTTCAAAATTATGCTTTACAACTAGTGACTTCTGTTTTGACTAATTCAGTTTACCAACAAAAACATCTTGATAAAAAATTCCTAAACCAGCTCAAGCAAGCAAGTATTTTTCAAAACATGCTTTTGTCTTCCTGACAGCATCCTCCAAGTGGTAGTAGGAATTCTTAAAATTAACAGAAGGTATATGCAGAGGAGGTGGGAAGTTTGGAAAGAGTGCTCCAAATGCCAGATCTATCATCTGGATTATTAATATGTCAGATCTGGTGCATATGAAGATGCATTTCTGTGCAATGAATACTCCTCATGATATATGATTCCTGAGGTCGTGCTGAAAATGTGATGAGGTGTCCATTTAAGACTGAAGGAATGTCCTGAGTAAGGAGCAAAACAGAATCCTGAACTCCAGCAGTCCCATGCAGGGGAGGGAAGTACCTATTTACTACACTTTTAATGAGTTGCAGTGTGAAGTTAAAAATAAAAACAGCAAGGAGAAGAATGAATCTTCAAGGAGTGAAAAGACAGCAAATGTGTCAGCTCAGGAAGCTCCAAGGCCAGGAGAGCTCTAGAAGATAAGGCTGTCTCTCTTTGCTTCTCCCCTAAATAAATCAATCCACTCAAGACCACGCATAATGGCTGAGTTGGAGCCTGGGCTTCCATGAGGAAGATACATCAAAGAAATCCTGAAAAGTTAGGAAGAGAGACATGTCAGATAAAAGTGCAAAGTATTTTTCTTTTGCAACTTTTTTTCCAAGTTTTATAATCACAGAAATATTGCACGATTGGAAGGTTACCCCCAAAAGTGCTGCAGGTGAACAAAATAAAACCCCAATAAATATGGATATTTAGCATCCATTTCCCAGCAGATTGCGCAGCTCAGCTTGGGGATTGGCAGTGGTGTATCAGGGCAGACAGGGAAAGCCTCAGTTGATGCACTGATATGCCTCCAGCAGCAGACAGAAGGTGGAACATATTGTGTATGTTTCATCAACTACGTATTGTGACTATCTCCTTGGCTCCCCTTTTTTGATCTACACCTTAGGATCCTGTGAACATGTGTGAGAAAACTCTTGTATTGCCATCATCCCTAGAGCCAGTCAATAGCTTTCCTTTTTAGTTGCCCAGACAAATGCCTAGGAAGAGCTGAAGGAGGTGGTGGCAGTTGAGGAAATTTTCACACAGCAGTGAATCAGGCATGTATCTCACCTAACACCTTCTGTGCCACTCCCTTTCCTCTGCAGGCCTTTCTGCATACCACTGTTACCTAAGTGAGAGGTTGGTGGGAATGATTTAATCTGATCTATCCAAAAAGGTCCTTTGTGTCCCAGGTATTTTTCCTGGATGCCATGAGGCCAGAAAACAGGATGCCAAGGGCAGAACTTATCAATCACTTCACTAGGAACCCCACCACAGTCCAAAATGCCTATTAATTATCATAAAACCACCCCATGTGAAAACACACACCTTTACCTCACCTAGTAAGAGAACTCTCATGCTGGCACCTCTTTCATCTTCCCCTTCAGCTTTATTTACATCCTCTAAGATTTGCATTCCTTCTTTAGCCCATGCAAAGCAAGAGATAGTCCTTGCATTCCTGTGTGCATTGCCATGGTTACCTAGTTCATCTGCAGCAAAATGGGTTGGTCCATGACCTGACACCACAGCTCAAGGAACACATTCCTCCCTTGTCCACCGCTTCTCAACCTCTCCGGCTGCAGCTGTTCTTTTGGAAAATCGTAATGCAAGCAACAGTGGGGTACCCAACACAAGCTCTGCCAAAGTCTTTTAGTGCTTTTTCCCCTATACAGTGTCTCCAAGTGTGTTTTTTGGCAGGCCCAGTCCTTGAAAAATTCCAGACAGTTTTTCCAGCAAGCTGTAATCAATAGCACACCTGCACATTTGACCTGCTGCGTTTTATTTGAGGATGAAGTCTTCACTTCAAAATTTAAACTTGGAAATTTAGCCTCAAAAGCACGCTTACTCGAGAACACTTGTGACCACACAACTGAGTCTGTCAGGGAAAAACAAAGCTTTGGGGCACAAAAATAAAGACCAAGAAATCTGAAACAAGCGTCTTAGCTGGATGGGGGACAAACAGCTCCCTCCTAGAAGAGCAGTTTGGATTACTTCAGTGTCACAAATTTTACAGCAGAAATTGAACTAACTGTGCTCTACTGGGAAGAGCCAGCAAGCCAGACATCACTCCTAAATAAGTGCTCAACAACAAATGAGGTATAAACAACAAAATATTGATAAAATATAATGAAAACTAATTTCAATCCAGGCAGAAGGCATATGTATTTCCACAACAGGCTCAAATTTTCAAAGAAACAAAGCTTATTAACTTTGCTTTTTAAGCAATATCACTCTCAGAGGTTTTTTCTCCAGGCAATATTTATAACAAAATAGATATATAAACTGTTATGAAGAATCCCTTCTCACACCATTCGTCTCTTCCCATCATTAATGTTTCTAACATTCATACCAAATTTGACCTATTTAAATAAACTTAAAGCAATGATGTAATATCTGGAAATGGTACACTAAATATGTGTACCACAAAATGTCAAGGCAAACACAGATGTATCTTATGGTGATTCTGAAAACACAAATACCAATGAATCTCTCCAAGGAAACCAAAAGCTGGTAAAATTTGAAATTACTTTGTAGTTATATAATTATGTAATATAAAGTGAAGTTCTCCAGAGTTGATTTAGCATGGCTGAAACAGAGTGGGTAATTTCTCTGAATCTCAACAGCAAAATAACCCCAGTCAAATGAAAAATCACCAAAATGACAACTCATACACCTACCTTTTCCATTTATTGTTAATGCTGATGCCATTGTGGCTGTTACTGGCACTGGCAATTGTGGCACTAATGGATGTATCCTTGGTCGGCTCCCCATCCTAGCACGCTCTGCACCAGGTCCTAACAAAGCTCCCACAGGTTTTTCTGCTGCTACTTCTGGTGCTACAGAGTCGTCTTGATCCTGCTCTATGTGGTCCATTTTATCTGGGCTTTCATTCTGGAAGCCATCAACTGTTGTCCGGCTCTTAATTGGACTTTTGGGCACTAGGATTTTAATACCTGATTTTGAAAGGTCCATATTTTTACGTCCAGAAAGCGATGGTGAATTGTTTTTCCGGAACTTCTGTGTGGCAGAAAAAAGCTGACTAGTTTTTGACTCGTGTTCTTTAGTCATAACTAAAGATTTAGAAGATGTCTTTGTAAAAGAACTATTGGTAGATCTAGAAATTTGTTTTCTGGCATTATTTGGAGAGGTCCTGTTTGTCCTGGTTAATGTGGTTTCTTTCTGCTTTTCATTGTGGCGTCTGTTAAATTCATGTATATATTCCTCACAATTGACAAGGTGCTGTTCTGGCTCCCAAGTATCATCTTCACTGTCATATCCTTTCCATCGCACCAAATACTCTGTTTTTCCTTTCTTGTTTTTCCTCTTGTCAACAATTCTCTCTACCTGTTAAAAAGCAAAAATAAGCATTAGGCATGGGCAGATATACAACTCAAGAGAATGACCTACATGTAAATAACTTATTAAGTGTATACAGATTACAAAATAGTCTTGTAGTTTTGTAATTCTGTACTGTAGCTCTATAGTATTACAGTCTTTCACTGCTGACTGGAAAGCCCTTGCTTTTAACTTCAGATTGTTACTTTTGTCTCAAAAACTTGCTCTAGAATATCAAAATTGTTTTTCACTAAGTATTTTGCATACACAAGAATCTGAATATGACATATTAAAATTGACAGTCAGCACTGGCCTCAGAGAAACTCTTGCGCCAACTTAAATGCGGACATGATTTCCCTCTCTCATATAGAAGTCATGTTTAAATATGTTGTATAAATACAGTGTATTTACCTTACCAAACTTATCAATTTGATATTGTTTGAATAATATGCTTGCTTAGCATAAGGCATATGTGAGAATCTCTTACTTACAGTGAGCTAACCTTCAGCTACCAGGGACAATATGGAACAGCTTAGGAACTGGGGCAAATTCAGTTTGTTGGTTTTTTTTAGAGGCTTCTTGTGAAAACAGAGAATTTGTTTTTGCCAGAGCCTTTGATACACGTATTTGAACAAATTGCCATGCCTCACTTATCTGCAAACAGAGGTGATATTTATGTCACAAGTATTAAGTATGCACATTCTACAACTGCATGTGGAACCCATAGGCTGGAGGAATTCAGGCACTGGGGTAAAGGAGGCTGGACAGACAGCAGCAGACAGCAGCAGCTGCAGGGACAGAGGCTCATGCCTTGGACTAAAACTTATGCCAATCATGCTAATCCTGTGGAAAGGGAATTCTTTTATGGAAAAAGATAAAAGTGCAAGGCTAATCTTAGGGTTTCCCCTTTTTGTTTAATTTTTCCTACCCTGGCTGACTCTTCAGATAAATCCTCCATCCTACTTCATTTCAGTTATGGGACTGATATAGAGTTCTTACTCATCTCTCCCTTCTTTTTGATAATTAAAAAAAAATAAATAAAAAAAGAGGCAGGTGTTTTGGACTATTACTTATTAATTTAACTCCCAGCCCTTCATGAACAAAAACCATGCATACATGCATAGAAGCCAAGACCACACCTACCTAGAAGAACCTCTGAAGAAAGAGTGACATTTACTGGAGTGGTATTAACCAAATGGAATGTCAAAGAACACTTTCTAAGGATTGGAGGAAAATACAGATATGTATGGTGCACATATAAACAGGGTACACATAGGGTATATGATTCATTACCAAATCACATGACTGCTGACAACAGATTTTCTTAAGAGTGCACCTCAATTTTGCACGACATGCTATCATAATGTACTCTCTAGTTTTCAACAGTAAGGTTAAATTATTATTATTATACTATAATTATTACAATATAATTATATTACAATAATAATATTATATTATTATAATAATATAATTATTATTATAATCTCAGCAGCAATATAAGGACATATGCTACAACTGCATGTGATACCCTGCAGGTGTTGTACTGTGTCATCACGATGTTGCTTAACTCTGTCTGCACAGGTCTTAAAAAAACAGCCAAATCAACACAAAAACAAGAATCAAATACAAACAAGCTCCACTTTTGCCTTGTTAATCAGTTCAATGCATTTTATAGAGACATGCAATACAAATTGTCCAAATTTTATTTAAAATCTTAAAATACATTAAAACTATTTTTACTCTGATTATTTAACTTTCTAGCAGTTACTGGGATTAAAAAACCATGCAGCTAGAAATATGAAACTTATTTTTCCATGAAACTATTTAAAGACATCTTAAAAGAAAATGCAACTCCAAGAGCTGAAGAAAGTCACGGCAAAGAAACACGCCTTCAATCATTTCTTAGTAGAAACTGAGTAAAAAGACCTTCAAATATTAAGTGAGAAATGTTAAATTAAAAACTAAGAACAAACTCATGAATCAAACTTCCTATCTTGTCAAAAAAGTAGCTACTGCTAGTCTTGCTTATACTTTCTGCCTCTCTTGACCTTCTAAAATAGATTTTAAGACCATGATTCTCAGAGAAAGATCTCTACTACTACCAAGGTATTTTTATTCTCTAGTACTAAATCTTTGTAATGAACAGCATCAATTACTGAGCACCAAGTTCTACCACTGTCTTTTAGTACTGCAAGACCACCCATTAAGGACATGCCCTTTTCAAGTAGGAAGCCATCCCTTTCATCCAAAAAACCAGATACCTTGCAGAGATAACAGATGAACTCTGGAACAGAAGACACAAAAATCCATTCTTAACTTGATGATTTATGGAGCAAGCAGAACTGCATAAAGAAAACTGTTATATTTAGCTGTACTGTCCAAGCCTGCAACAAAACCTATTTTGACATTGCTCTTTTTGATTAAAGGGATTTCTTTTTGTAACTCTTTATTTTTTCTTGAATACATTTTTTGTTTTATTTACAGCACAAAAATTACAACAATTAACCTGTGATACACAATTTGTCATGCAGCTTCAGAGCTTTAGTGAGGGACTTCTTTTTTTGGATTGACTCAGTTTGGTTAGTCTGACTCCCCCAGAAGCACTTGAAAAACTAATTCTGCCTCAATACTTTTGCTGATGATAACATCTACATAAGGGTTTCTCATCCAAAGCTGGGAGCGAGACACATCCTTTGCCATAATCACACTAGAAATGCTGACTAGTACTTTGTGACAACTACCATTTCTACAGTGTCCCATGCCCTGTGCCATGGGGCAGTACTTTATTTTTAGAGATTAAAAGGTTCTCTACTGCAGGATTTGCCATTAATGGTTAGTTTTCAAGTGTTGTAGAAGAATCACAACAAAAGACAAAATAACATAAAAAAAGATAGAACAGGTGTGAGAGAAAGTTATCAGGCAAACTATCTGGGTGGTAAAGAAATAACATTCCTCAGTTTATTTTAGCATGCTAAATTATCACTTTCCCTACCTGGGGGGTTACTGATCAATGACACTCAAAAAATCAGGCAGCAGAAGAACTGAGAGAAAAACAATGAGCTGCTCAGAGGTATAATCCAATACTGAAATGAACAAATTTTAATCCTGCCCACCACAACTATACCTGAGATTTCCCATCTGTAAAATGGTAATTTCCCTTCCTTCCATGTGGAATGTGGTAGAATTGGTTCATGCTTGCTCTCCCTCCCTGAGGATTTTAATTGCTTTTATTAGCAAATTATACATAACTTACATTCAAAAAAAATTTCCAACAAACAAATAAAAGCAATATATGGTTGCAGGCTGAAGTGCTGCCTGACTACAGCTGCACCAAGTGAAAATGGCAACACTGCAACTCCTCCCTGTCCTATGTTTGAGACAACAGCTCCTCCCCATCTGTCAGCACTTCTTCCATAATTATTCCCTAATGTAGTTCTGTCAAAGTGACCTGGTTTAGATATTAAGAATACCTGAGTTAATGTAGGCATCCTGGAATAACTGGTTTGGAGAGCAGCCACATATGCGGTATTTTCTGACACATCTTAGAGGACTGCAACTTTCATCACAGGACAACAAACACCTATAGGCTGAACTGGTCCAGTAACCTCATTGTCAGGAAAAGGACATACATTCTAAATCCCTGATGAAAGTTCTTTAATTCAGGTCAATAAAAGTAAGCATGAAATTCAAAAGAACTTTTTCAATCTAAAGCATTATAATTTGGGCACATTTGTAAACTCAATATAAGGCATGCCCTCAGTCATTGTATATGTATATATATTAAAAAATCATAGTTTGATCATTTGAAGTAATTAAACTAAAGGTACATCTGTTGGAGGTGGGAAGGCAACAAAAAACAAAAAGACCAAAATAAACACATGTGGGTATGTAAATATTCAATGAGTATTGCCTTGTTTATAATAAATCCATTGTGCATTCCCATCATGTTCCTTTCTCTCTTCACATTCATGTCAGGCTAAATTAATTTAAGGTCTATCTGTTGTCTGTAAATTATAGGAGAAGGCCTTGTTCTGTTAGCTGAAGGCTATGTTTACCTCACTGTTTTTGTTCACAGCAGTAGTGCAATTTGGAAGCAAATCCTTCCCTCCTCTGCACTACTCCTGCTTACTGTGGGATGGTTTTATTCACAGACCAGTTCTGGTATACAGGATGTGGATTCTTTATGGAGAAATATAAACTGGAACTGGAAATGTACCAATGCATCTGTCACGCTTCAACCCCTAAGGAGGCACACAGATCCAAGCAAATAACACCTCTGTACAGTTTCAATACATGTAGTGGCATGGATATTTGATCCTGAGAGGCTCCACTAAATCTAGTCCAAAATAAAAGTGCTGCACAGCAGAATATGCAGAGGTGGGGGTCACAGCACCAACTGCTTCACTCAGCTGATTTTCTCCACTTGAGCCAAATTACTACTGGAGATATTCCCCAAGTCAGAAACAGAAAGCTAGAATAAATGCAAGTCTTGCATGACATATGTATGCACTACAAGTGAACAGTCACCCTTTCTTGAATTGGAAACTATATCATACACAAATGGGACTTAAATGATCCCACATAAGCAATCAGCAATGTTTACAAGTGGTAGTATCTTCCATTTATTAAAATCTTGCAGAAGTCAACAATAAACAGTATTCAAATACTTCTTATCATAAATAAAATAAATGCATTCTACATTAAATAACCAACTAATACATAGCAGCATACCACATAAAAACAATTTCAATGCCATGTTTTGCTTAAAGTAGCTTTGGGAAAAGAGTTATTCAAAAAGATATTTGATGAGGATGTCAAAACACACATGAAGGTCTGTAAAATGTGCATTAAAATCTTAAATGCACACATTTTATTTAAAAGTACATAATTTCCCATAGGATGACTTAAGGCCAAGTCAGAGTATTGCTCTCTGCAGTTAGCATCAGCAGGGAAATTTAAAAAACAGCTTAACACCTACGCTTAGAATATAAAAATCTTTATCAAAAAGA